GGGGGGGGGGGGGGGGGGGGGGGGGGGGGGGGGGGGCGTAATCATGTTTTGCATGACTTAGTTGTTATAATATCGACCGGTGAAAGCGAGGGGAGGGGGCAGGGGGCACTGCCTTGCCCACAGCTTGTCAGAAAAAGACAAAAGAAACAACAATGGACACACATACAACGAGCAGGCGGGACAGCTATTCAGAGAATACCAGGGGGTTACTGCCGTGTCCACAACTAAAGTACAAGAACAAGAGGGTGCGACACAGATACGACGTAGACGGGTGAGCTATTCAAATGATACCCGGGGCTTGCTGCCATGCCCACTAGCGAATGCCCACAGCCAAGAAAAAGAACAGGAACACGAGGGTGGATGCACACACGAAGCACTACTGTAAATGGTACAGCCGTGTGAGCACACCGTGAATTGTAGTACAAGTACCTGCTGTGTTGTCGACACGGAACCCGCGCCCATGCCCACGCGAACAGCGTCCACACCGGCGTCCAGCAGAGCTAACGCCTGGCTGCGGGTGACCACGTTGCCGCCGATCACGTCCACCTTGGGGTACTTGGCCTTGATGTGACGAACCTGTCAAGCCAAAGCCAAAAAGTGAGGTAAATATGTTAGCATCGACGGCGCTAACCGGCTGACCAGTTGAACACACGTCAGTCTCAGTGCGGCCAAAAACAGAAAATGCTTCTAGAGGCTACCATCATCTGTCCGTGTGTGTCGTCACTGATAGCATCGACCGCCCTGACCGGTTTACCGATGAAAAAATGTCAGTGCCAGCGGGAAAAAATCAAGGCCCCTGTCAGGGGGCCGCAATCGGAAAAATGCGCCTTGAGTCGAACGCGAATTTATGTGTGACTTTCCTGCCGCTAGCATCGACAGCGCAAACAGGCTGACCAATGGAAACATCTGTCGTGCGTGAGCGTGTCTTTTTCGTTGTTTGGGGGGCGGAGTGCAGACGACATCCGAGAATCACTCAACGATGGCATATCGAGAAAGAAGAAAAACTACAGGTCTTGTTCCCTTGACCATGTCGCTCTCTCCCTCTTCCGTTCTGTCTTCCTCAGTCTTTGTCTCTCTGTCTGTGTCTCTGTCTGTGTCCTGTGTCTCTCTATCGTCAGCACTACGTGCATTGGTTGCTTGTGCTAGGTGTGTGGGCCAACCTGATCAATCTGTTCCGTGGTATCTCCGTTCCTCTCGTCGATCACCAGCACGTCCACCCCGGCCTCCACAAGCATCGCGATGCGGTCCTGATGCGGGAAGGGGGCACACAACAGAGAACGGCAATAGGCCTTCGTTTATCACTGATATGTAGCGCGCATACTCGACCGAGAATGATCGCAGGAGCCACTGCAACGTGAAGCCTCCAGGGGTACAACGGCAAAAAAAAATCAAAGGTATCCTGCGCCGCACAAAGTAAAGCCGCAACAGCCTTGCCCCCTTCCCCTCGGCGCTTCGCGCTTAGCGACGTGAGAGCCTGGTCCGGTGAGAACCCGGCGTGCTCCGTCCCGGTTTTGTGGGGATGCGAGGTCAATGGTCTAACGACTACGGCATGCACGACTATGAATACACCCCCCCTACACCCTCCCCCATAACACACAACCAAACACCTGTACGTCTCCCCACCCCCAGCGAACACCACAAGAACAACCAAGAGCGGCCCCCGTTCCATCCCACGGAGCCCCCCGTCATCCCATGGGGCCCCCCGTTGATGTCCAACGACAGGCGACCCCCCCCTCGGAACGAAACTTCACACAATGTCGGGTAGATACAGAATGTGCTCTACAACTGCCAACAGGTCAGCCTGAGCAGGGCGGTAGGTACCCGCCCCCCCCGTGTGTTCCTCACTCACCCGGTCGTCTGGGCCCGCTCCTACGGCAGCAGCAACCCTCAGCTTGCCGGTCAGCGGGTCCTTGGTGCTGTGCGGGAAGTCCCTCGTCTTCAGGAGGTCGGTGCGTGTGGTCAAGGCGCAGAGGTTACCCTCGGCGTCCACGATTGGCAGGTAGCCTAGAAAGAGGCACGGGCGGGGTATAAGCGTGAGTGAGGGTGGTACGAGAGCGGGGGGTAAATACAGAGCGTAGCTCTCTGTTTCGGGTGGGTTGAATAATGCCAGTGCCCGGAATAGTGCCGGTGTTTTAGGCGGGCACAGACTGAATTTCCAAGTCATTGTCAGTGCTTTGAATAGTGCCGGTCCGGTATAGTGCCGGTGAATTCCCTGGGCACTTACCGGCACTATACAGGGACCTCTACTGCACGTGGTACTTGATTGCTGCCAGGCGGGGGGGTGGTCATACACTCAACCGGTGGGGCAGAAAGGGCGGGTTGGGTAGGGTAGACTCACAGTCTTCGAACTTCCGGAGCATTATCCTACCCCCACAGCCGACATGAAAACAAAGCAACATTCATCGCCGACATGAACAAATAACGCAGCCAAACATATTCTTCAACGGAAAAAAAAAGTTGCCTCATTTTGCGCCTTTGCCGTTTAGTGCCCCCCGTTTCGACGGAGCACGCGCTTAAAAATGTGAGACAAATGCTTCCAAAACAGCACCCTACTCTTACGCAACCATTTTTTTTCAACCTCTGTTTTTTTTTATTTGGGCGGTAACCATAGTGGTGGTCGAGTAGGTCATGTTGTGCGGGGTGGAGAACTCTCACTCCCCGCAAGGGGATGATCGCGCCACGTTGTGCTAAATTGGTCAAGCACCCTCGAGGCAGTTACACAGTGCTACAAATGTCTCAGGAAGTGAACACCAGAAAACCAATTAAGTCATACGCAGCTGTCATCCGTATGCAAGGAAGTAAGCACAAGATGCCGAGCACAAGATGCCGAAAACCCTTAGCAGGATGCAGCGCACCCTTCATGCGACTCGCCGAATACTTCACGGCGCTTCGCGCTTGGTGATGTGAGAGCCTGGTCCGGTGATAACCTGGCGTGCTCCGTCCCGGCTTTGTAGGGATGCGAGGTCAATGGTCTAACGACTACGGCATGCACGACATTACACCCCCCTACTCCTACGTGACCGGCGCCTCTCCCTCTCGCCATGTCTACCTCTGTCTGTCTGTCGGTTCTCCCTCTCTCTTATGCCCATGTCTTCCCATTATCCATCTCTGTCTCTCTGTCTCTGTCTCTGTCTCCGTCGATGTCCTCTCTCTCTCTCTCTCTCTCTCTCTCTCTCTCTCTCTCTCTCTCTCTCTCTCTCTC